CTCCCTCTCTCGATTAGCTTCTGGTCGATCAGCATAGAAGAGCGAGACCCAGCGAGGGAAAAGGACACACGGCGGAGATTTATCTGCTTGTTGTTGTCTGTTTGTAATTGTTGTTGGTTGTGGTTGTTTGGTTTTAATTGTTGTTAGTGGTGGTGGTTGTTTATTGTTGTTAATTGTTATTGTTATTGCAGCTGTTGTTTTTTTTGTTGGTGGTTGCTTGTTTTTGCTATTGTTGTTGTTAATGGTGGTTTATTATTACCGTTTGTTGTTCATTGTTCTTGGTGTTGGGATGGTTGTTGTTTGTCGTTGTTTCTATGTGGGAAATCCTTCTCCGGGTTAAGTATGGGGGGGGGGGGGGTAGGACATTTTTTATGTATAGGAAGCTTCTGGAAGGTTGTTATGGTTGTTGTTGTTATTATTATTACTATTATTATTGCTTTTGTTTTGTGTGTGCGTGCGTGCGTGTGTGTTGTGTGTGTGTGTGTGTATGTGCGCGCGTGTGTGTGTGTTTGTGTTTGCGTGCGTTTATGTCCTTGCTTTGTACCATAGGTTCCACCGTCGCCATTCCACCTGCAGACTGAAACCGCGTAACGCGAACCCCGTGTGCTTTTCTATCCCCCCCACCCCCCCACCCCCACCACTACCACCAAACTCACGCCGTCTCCCCCTTTCCCTCCTGCAGGTGCGGTCTCCCGTCGGCCCAGGACCCCCTCCCCTGGGGTCCCACCGGAGGCGCCCCGTCTCGCCGGACCCCAGGGGCCACGCCAGGACGCGAGCCACGGCCGCCGCAGCAGCAGCAGCAACAGCGTCCCGAGACTCCCCCAGGTCTTCCCCGAGGACGTCACCCAGGTCCTCGCCCAAGTCGTCGCCCGTGAGACAGACGCACAGGGAGGTGAGTGGACCGAGGGAGGGAGGGAGGAGGGGGAGGGAGGGAGGGATGGGGAAGGAGGGGAAGGGGAGGGAGGGAGGGAGGGAGGGATGGGGAAGGATGGGGAAGGAGGGGAAGGGGAGGGAGGGAGGGGAGGAGGGGGAGAGAGAGAGAGGGGGTGATAAAGAGAGAGAAAGAGTGTGTGTGAGAGAGAGAGAGAGTGAGAGAGAGAGAGAAGGGGAAGGGCGCCCCCCTGGGAGGAAGGTCATAAGGCGGCGGCGGAGGTTCGCTTGCCTGCGGTGGGGGGGGGGGGGCGAGTACCAGGAATAATGACGGGGAATTTCGCGCGTGTGAGAGATAGTTAGGTTGGGAAATGATTATGATAATAATAATAATAATAATGATATTGATGTTAGTAAATCTGATAATAATAATAACAATAATGATAATAGTGATAACAGTGATAGTAATAATGATAATAATAATGATAATGATAATATTGATAGACTAAAAATAGATAATAGTGAGATATTTCGCGCGCGTGAGGCGGTAATTTTTGCAGCAAATAACTATAATAGCGGGTACTTTGTCCGCAAAGAGAATAATTGAAATAGTTAGGATTCTGTGTCGTAAATAACAAACTTTAAAAAGCAACGTAAGTGATAAGAACTCAGGTTAAAACAGCGGCGTTTCATTCTTGCGGTTCATTTAGCCGCGGGAGAACGTTCTGGAACAAATGTCGGGTAAAAAGAAAGAAAGAAAGAGAGAGAGAGAGAAGCAAAGATGTAGTGATAGAAGCGGATGTTAAGTGGAGTGAGTAAGGTGGTGCTTTTTTTTCCCCCGTGTTTTAGAAATGGGTGTTTGGGTAATAGTATGGCGGGGTCGTGTAAGGTGCAGGTTGGACTGTGTGGCTTTACGGTTCATCGTTGTTGTTGTGACTGTGCTGAGTGTTAGCAAGTGTGTCTGTGGATTGTGCTGACTAACCTCTCGTCCCCTTCCTTGCAGCGGTCCATGAGCCCGGGCGCCCGTCGGTACGTCGGCAGAGGCAGCATGGGCGTGTCCTCTCGCAACCACTCCTCGAGAGTCACGCCCACGCCCCCGTCGCCGCCCTCGAAGCGCGCCACGCCGCCCACCTCCCCGCGGGTGCGGCGGCAGCGCTCTCCGTCGAGCGGCGGCGCGGGGCGGCGGAACCCGTCGCCGAGCGCCGCCAGCGCCGCCAAGACCGGGCGGGCGCGCAGGAGCGGGTCCCCGGGGGCGGCCAGGGCCCCCTCGAGGCCCCCTTCCCCCAACACGCCCGGGGCCGTGGGCGGGGCCGCGCCCTCGGGCGCCGTCGCCTCCCGCAGGCCGGCCTCGCCCACCACCACCTCCGCCGCCGCCAACGGCGCCAGCAGCGGCGCGCGGCCCCCCTCCCCCGGGGCCAGACGACCGCCCTCGCCCCGGGGAACCTCCCCCAGGGGGCGCGGGGCGTCCCCGGGGTCGAGGGGGCCGCCCATCAGCGAGGAGACGCTGCGGGCGCGGGTGAGGCGGGCGCTGCGGGCGAGACTGTACCTGCTGCACCAGCCGGGCCCGAACTCGTTCACGGTGGGCGGCGACTCGCCCACGCACAAGTACAAGGTCATCATCGGACCCCAG